TCTGGATTCCCCATGCGAGGAGCACTTGGTAGCCCTGGCCAGAGAGAAAACAAAAAAAGCCTGGCGCTGACCTCATGCTTCTCAAATGATCAAACGGCAGGGTGTCTTTCCCTCTGCTTTGATCTGATTAATACATACTGCCAGCGATACACTCTGAACCCTCAATGCCCAGCGACCTCACAGGGGCCGTCACATGAAACACAAACCAGGGATTACAGACTTCAACCGGTTTGTTTTACACTCACAGACACAGGGGTCTGCAACATTTTTGACCAAAAGAGCCATTTTGCTCCTTTTTCCAAAAGAAAAAATTGTCTGGAGCCGCAAAACATATTTCATAGCTTGATAGCTAATAAAGTTGTATTTATTGTTATATCAGACAAAAACTACAGTTTGTTTGCATTTATTAGGCTATTTATTACATTATATAAAACTGTTAACCTCTAATAAGAAACAAAGAACTCCTATAAGGAGAAATACAAATAATACACAGGCCTACTTTAAAATAAATTAAACACAGCACTTGGGGAGTCCTCTGCACATTTGAAGGAACAAAATATATAATTAAAATGTGCCCACTTTGAAATAAATAAAACATATAGCTGCACCCTAAAAAGAGTTAAAGGTAGGGTAGGTAAGAATGGAGAAACCAACTCGAGTGTGCTAGAATTTGAAAATACACAACCGGGAAAAATCTGCCTCTTCCTTCAGACTTCCTCACAGAGTCCCTCTTCCAACACACACGAACGCACACATGACCAATGAGGGCACGAGATAAGTTTGTGCACAGATGGAAGGCTGACAGGCAGGTAGGCCATCCAGTTACTTTAGCCGGACCGGCTCAGATGATTGGTCGTGCTTTTTACAGCGCTACGGCTTCCACAGATTAATTTTTGTATGTATTTATCGTCAAAGCATTTAATATATTCATTGCTATCGGGACGTTAAGAGCATTCCATGGAATATAACAAAAAGTGTTTTCTGAAATAAATTACATACCCCATTGAATTATGACTGAAGATCGTCAGCTGTCTTCCTCTCCGTGTTGTTCCTCGACACGTAAAGGCTGCAGCACCTTTGACAACTTCTCTCTACATATCAAACATACCGGTAAACCAGCATGGTTTGCTGTGAAAGCAGATAACTCTGTCCACGCAGAATTAAATCCTGTGTTCCTCCGGTACTTTTATTTTCCTTGATTTATCCATAGTTCGCTCATCGAGCCGGGGGTCAGGTTATTCACCCGCAGGAAAAGGCGCTGGCACGGGACCGTAGCAGGATGTGACGCATATTTTAGTTGAACTAATTAAAACCGTTTTGTTTTTTATTTATGTATCACCTCAAAATACAAGAAACGAAACATTTTCAACCATTCAACAAAATATAAATAGTCCTACAAATACTTTTATTTTCCTTCTTATTTTTGTCTAAGCTCAAGGGAGCCAGACCAGAGGGGTTAAAGGGCCGCATGCGGCTCGAGGGCCGCGGGTTGCCGACCCCTGGGATAGTGTGTAAGGGTAGGGGTAGTGTGTAGGGATAGTGTGTAAGGGTGTAGGGGTAGGGTGTAGGGGTAGTGTGTAGGACATGGTTTGGGATTGGGCCCAAGTTAGGTCCGACAGGGTGTAAAGAGGTGCTGCATCTCAGGCAGTATGAGAACAAATACAGCGCTTGTTGTTGTTAAAGCATGCAGACATCTGTAAATCACTTACAATCTCTAATATATGACGACACACATTCAAAGCATGAATTTGAAAACTCCTCTGCTTGTCATTCATCCTTGTTCTTCATCCTTGTTCTCTTCTCTTTAAAGTGCGCCGCTGGAAGACCAATAGACAGCCATTGTTTATTAATTTATTTCTTCTAACGAATTAATAAATTACCATAAATTGGGCCAACGCTAGAGTCTATCAAATGACGAAGAGGAGGTGCAGGAGCATGTACAGACCCAGCCGTCTCACTTTTATTTCTTTTTAAGATTTACCATCCACGTGAGTGAGAGGATATTCGAGTGCTCATTCCGTGCACCTTCTAGAGAGAGTGTACTTTTATCATGTTTTTAATGCCGAAAGAGATCATTTGTGATGGAGACGTTTTCTTTTATCGTGTGACAGATTCTATGAAGGGCTGGGCTTTTCTTGGCCGACAAAACCTTTTTATCTACGACATTTCCAATAACTTAAGCTACTTCAGGGGATTACAGTGGAACAATACAGCCATACTCACCTCTCTTCTACTAGTCTATTTACGTCAATAACCTTTCGGATGTTTAAAATCCACCGATGCATGTACTGTAAATAGATGTAGCCTGGAATAATACTTCCTAGAATTTTTATGTTTTGCTTTTATGTTAAAATGTATTAAGAGCAAGTTGAGTTTTTGGACCACTGTAAGTTTTGGATACATTTCAATCAGTGGAAGAGGACCTTTGAGTAAATTCCTGAAATGTAAAACCTCTCATTGTTTTAAAAATGGCTTTGGCCGTTTCTCAATGTCGAGTAGAGCTGCTGCAGAGCCACTATTTCAAGTATACTACGTCATCGAGTGGCGCCGAAGGACTGTTTAAATGCATGTTAAATTCCCAGCATTCGGCGCCACTCGATGACGTTGTATACTGGAAATAGTGGCTCTGCAGCAGGTATACTCGACATTCAGAAACGGCCTTAATCTGGTGCCAACGGGATTTAAATTACATGTTACTTATTAGATCCAANTTATTGCACTTTGCAGCAGATTCCTGTGTAGCTTCAGATCTGAGTCGTGTTATTAGTAAGCCTCATTTATACTTTTGTAGCAACACTATTTTTATATTATATTACATGTTACATGTTAGACGCTGTCATCCAAAGCGACCTACATACTCAATACTGTGGACAATCCCCACAGGAGCACGTTGGGGTGAAGCGTCTCAGGGACACAACAACATGCTGACTGCAGTGGGGTTTGAACCTGTGACCCCCTTATCCCAACACCAAGGCTCTATCCACTGCGCCACACGCCTCTTAAATGACAGATGGGAAATTATTCCCTCATTAAGCCTATGTTGTCTGCTCTTAGAATATTTCATTAATTCCTATTATTTTACAGTCGGCTGCTTTAAATGTTCCCAAAACTAAGTATTCAAAAACCTTTGACTGGGGCAAACGTGCATTTTAGATTGTAAGAAGAGTTTTCACTACTTTTCTTATTTGTGTCTGAATTAATTCATTCATTTTTTTACAAACCAGGAAACTTTAATAAATGCAGACTTTATCCAGGGCATCTTTTATCAAAACTGGACCCTTAACGCCGTGCACAGTCTGCCCGTTTACAGGGATTATGTTGTTTAACAAAAACGTCAAAAACATCAAAAAATATCTTTCTTATTTTACTGTCCAATTTCTGGCATAAGGGAAGCTTTGTTGTTCTTGTGTTACTTTGCTTTTAACCTTAGACCTAGTGACTTTACCTAAATGAGTGCAATATAACGCCATTTTTTGCCATGTTTGAAGAACAGCTTATTTGTTCTTATCATGTTTTTTTTTCTTCAGGAAATTTGACACTTTCTTCATAAAAAGTGGCATCTTTTCATTTGTTTTGAGTTTATTTTTGGAGTGCTTTTTGCTTTTAGCTGTAATAGAGATTGCTTCTGATTTTCACCTTGAAATCAGGTCCTTTTTGTTCACTTTGAGGGTCTGCCTTTGTATTTCTTTGTAAAACACGCCTTGGCATTTTGCGTGTAGCTAACTTTTGTGTCTTGTATGTATAAATAAAGCCTTATTGAGAAAGTCTAAGTGTTATCTTGTTTTTTTACATGTTTCATAAGATTTAAGCAGTAACTGAACTGAAAAAAGTTGTACAGATGTCCATAGACAAAAGTAAGTAAAACTTTATTTATATAGCACCCTTCTCAACACGGATGTACAAAGTGCTTTACAGTACAGTAGTACACAGGACACAATTCAAAGTACAACTATAACACAGGACAAAACACCAATGAATAACAGCTACTAACTCACCTCCTCCTCCGGCGACCCAAAGGCCTATTGGAAAAGGTGGTTCTTTAGCTGCCCCTTAAAAATCTCTACTGAGGCAGAGGCTCTTAGTGTCTGGGGGAGTTTGTTCCAAAGCCTTGGGACCACCGCCTGGTCCGGGGCACCCTTAGGAGGCCTTGCTCAGAGGACCTCAGGGCCCGGGTTGTGCTGTGAGGGTGGATAAGGTCGGTAATGTAGGCTGGGGCTTGGCCATGGACAGCTCTATATGTGAAGACCTACACAAAACTGTCTCTCAAATAAATGCCATATTATATACTTTAATTTTCAACACACTTGTCCTGTGAAATCTTCAATTGTTTTTTAAATGGTAACCCTTTTATTTCCAGGAAAAATAATGCCACTTTTGTCTTATAGGAAAAACAAATACATTTATTTACAGCCATTTCTATCGGATGTGTTCAAGCAGGATTATACATCCAGACTCCACTCTGGTTTAAGATGTAGAGAAGTATTTTTATAGTAATACAGGTTGTTATTGTTTTGCAGTCAAGAATTTCAGTAAAATTGTTGACTGCTAACATTTCACCTGTGACGTTTGTGTTCAGGATTCTTACTAATAAATTCATAAAATCAATGATCGATGGATGCACTTCAATACTTCAATTATCCATGAAGAAAGATAACGATATTGAATACAAAACGAATTGCCACTGGATAAAGCCTGGGTGAGAAGTAAAACATCTTATATTAATGATGTGTTTTGTTTGTATGTTGATGGTAAACAAAGGATTGACATTTTAGTAACCAAATATTAAATGACTGTATATACAGGGTATATGCAGGAATCCTGAAGTCAGATGTAAAACCTTTTAAGACCTTTCCATACATTTTAAGACCTCATCGTCACTTGGGAGTTTTAACCGGTTACCTTGACGACACGTTACCTCACATTGACTATATACAGTATTGATGGCCCTTCCTCCTTATCTTCCAACCATTTGGACGCAGACTTGCATTTCCCCATAACGATGTTGTTTAACAACCGGCGTAAACGGACCTTCACGCGCTATCAAGCAGTGAGCGTGTGCGATTTCCTGTTCAGATGACGTCAAATCCAACGGGATGCCATAAATAAACTACACAGAATCACACTACACACCTACGCAATGATTACATTCAGGCACACTGTAGAATACAACCTCTTTGGACCATTTATATACTTATTGAAAACTTTTTAAGACCCCACAGACACCCTGATATAGGTTGTGATGTGATAACA